TATATAACCATGCTACAGCTTGTCATAGTTCACGCTTTAGAACCCAGCAGGCTTTATTTCACCTCCTCTTTTACTATTTGTCTTTCAAATTGTAAAATCTAGCTCCCCTTATTTTATGATGTACGTGTTGTACTGGTGTAGAACTGGATAAGAAACATTTCCAAAGGAAGTCCAGCATTCCGTCACATATCCTTGTAACATTATTACTTTGTAATTATTAGGATGCATAGTTCACAACTGTATAAGGATCTATTTATCTATAGTAAGAACTAAATTCCCACCCCACCTCTTTCCCCTCAGGAAGGTATGATTTTAAACTCGATCCAAAAACAGCGTGCTAGTTTTATGAATAATTACATTGTTTTTGTTAACCGAAGAACAAGAATGAAGAACGTACTGTAGCAGGATAATATGCTCTTTTCCACTAGATGGGAGTGTGCGATAACCAGATGTAGGAGTCTTTTATAGCTAAACCAGAATATGCAAACTCTTCAGCAGATTCTTACCAAATAAAGATTTCTGACCAATGTGTACACAAGGAAACTAGTTTGCCTCCCCAGCCCTCATATCTCTGCATCTCTGACTCTCTGTCTCTCTCTCTCTCTCTCTCTCTCTCTTTCTGGAACTATACAAGTCAGATCTAATATCTTCAGTTTGCAAAACTCATCTTAAGAAAACTCAGAACTTAAAACATCTATAATTATTTAATAATTTGTTATTTGGCAAAGAGCTTCATTTAAGAGTTTCTAGTTGTTTGTTTCTTCTAATTTTCTGATGTAGAGAAATCCAATTATTTATCTTCATTTTTAATCCAGAAAACTTATGAAAGTCTTATTGACGCTAATGCATTGCATTTTTATATGATCAGTCATAGCATCTGTGAACAACAACAATTTAGTTTCTTCCTTTCTGATGAATCCTTATAACTTGTATGTCTGATTTTTCTCACTGCTCTGATTAGTACCCACAGGCCAATATGAATGAAGTGGTGATAGTAATGTTGCTGTCTTCCTTCAGATCCTACAATGAATGCACTAAGTATGATGTATGCTGAGTGTTCGTGGGGTTTTTTCTCCTAGAAACCCTCTCTAAAATCCTTACTAGATCCCTTCTGTACCTAAAATTAGTAAACAAAATGTAATCAGAAGAGATATTGAAATATATTGAATGCTTTTTCTGCATCTAATGAGAAGCAAACTTTTTTTTATTAGTTTTTGCTATTTATTTTCCTTCCTTGTATTTTAGGCTTATTCTGCATTTTTCCTAACTTCCTGAGTTGAACACTTAGTTTAATAATCTTTATTCTTTCAAATTTGAGCATTTAAGCTATAAATTTCCTCCTAAGCATTCCTTTAGATGTGTTCCACAAGTTTCAAGAAGCTTTGTTTTCTTTTTTTCCTAAAATATTTTTGCTTTAATTTCTACTGTGATTGTTTCTTTCAACATTGAATTTTTTAGTTTTCTTTTTTTTAAAGACGTATTTTCCAGGTGCTTTTTTGCTGTTGATTTCTAACATAATTGCATTCTTTTCAGATAATGTTGTTGATGATCAGTCCTTGGGCATTTCTTAAGACTTGCTGTGTGCCATACTATATGTTCAGTTTTTCAAAGTGTTTCAAATGCTCACAGAAAGAATGTGTGTTCTTCAGTCACTGGATGTGATATTTTTTTGTGTGTCAGGTCAAGCCTGTTAATTGCGTTTTTCTAATATTTATTTCTAGTATTTTTAGTCTCACTATAATGAGGGGTTTGTCCATTTATTTCTTATAGTTCTGTTATTTTTGCTTATATATTTTGAAGTTAGGTTATTAGGCTATATTTTTATTTATTTATTTATTTTTTGGTGAGGAAGATTAGCCCTGAGCTAATATCTGTTGCCAATCCTCCTCTTTTTGCTGAGGAAGATTGGCCCTGGACTAACATCCGTGCCCATCTTCCTCTACTTTATATGGGATGCCACCACAGCATGGCTTGATAAGCAGTGCATGGCTCCCCACCCGGGATCTGAACCTGTGAACCCCGGGCTGCCGAAGCGGAGTGCGAGAACGTTTTAACCGCTACACCATGGGGCTGGCCCCTAGGCTATATTATTAAGTTTAGAATTGTTACATCATAGAGGTGTTTTTAACCTTTTGTTACTAAGTAGTTACTCTAATATTGAGGGAAAAAACATTAAAGTCCAATCTGTATGATCTAACTTACTTTTTGCTGATATTTGCCTAATTTATCTTTTTGCATCCTTGTACTTTCATCCTTTCTGTGTCCTTAAATTTTAAATGTCTCTTACAAATAGCATATAGTTTGATTTTGTTGTATTATCCAGTGAAAGCTTTTGTCTTTTAACTGGAGAATTGGGTCCATTTATTGTGACTATTGATATATTTGGATTATATCAACCATCTTAGTTTGTATTTTCTACACGTCCCAATTTCCTAAATTTCTTTTTTCTCCTCTCTTATTGCCTTCTGTTTGACTAGTTGCCTTTTTATATTTTCATTTCATTTTCTGTTAGCTTAGAAATTATATACAATATTTCTTTCTTTAGTTATCTAGATATTTTAACATGCATACTTAACATCATGTAGTGTTAATCTACATCTTTACTGTCTTCCTGCACAACGTAAGGATGTTAGAATGTTTTTTGAAACTCTCAGACTCCCCCCTCTGGTTTATACGCTATTGTTGCCCCGTATTTTAGTTCCAGCTTAAGTTTTGACTCCACAAAGTCTCTCTACTTCCCTTTGCTCTGTCACCTTTTCCAGCTTCTGCTCGTCTGCCAGACTCCTTCCTGAGTCCTCACCTGTCCCTCTACTCTTCCCCCAGGAAGTGAAGGTGATCTGTTCAACTCATCATTTCCTGACTTCCGAGTTTGTATTTTCTACCACCAGGTCTATGTATCCTACAATCTACTTGATATCTTTATTCTGGCTCATAGGCATGTCAAACTTATCAATAGTTCAGTTTTGGAGACCTTTCATCAACCTTTTCCCCCCATACCTCAGGTCTGTTCTTCTTTTGCATTTACTATCTTAATAAATTAGATTCCTTCTACCAACTTACTCATCCTGGAAACCTGGGTTCATTTTTTGACAAACTAGGCCTTCCCTTCACCATCACTACGTCCAAGTCAACCACAAAGTTTAATCAGTGTTACATTCAAGGAGATCTTAAATCTGTTCCTTTCGTTTCATCTCCACTGTCAAATGCTCTAGTCCAAGCTATAGCACATCTTACCTGGACCACAGCAATAGCAATCCAAGATATGAATTCCACTTGTGAAGTAGCAGTAGAATCCCTGTTACTTAGAACCGCACTGTTGCAAACTGGATGCACCATTGAGGTGTTAATTCGTCTCTCTAATTCCAATTATGTCTATCCCCAATCCATTCTCCACCTACCCCCAATCCATTATCCACGTGGCAGGTATTACAATTTTTGAAAATGATAGATCTAATCATGTTATTCCATTACCTAAAAGCCTGCAGTGCCTCCCGATTACTCTTATAATGAAGGCCAGATGCCTTAATGTGTTCTGCAAGTTCCTGTATAATCTCATGCCTGCCTACCGTCGTTGTCACTGCCCCCATTACTTGCCTCACTGCGGTCACACCAGCCTTCTCTGATCATGGAACCTAAGGGAACAATCTCTTTCCTAATTCAGGACGACCACAAATACTCTTTCTACCCAGAATGTTTGGAGGCTTTTCTCCTCCCTTTTGTCCCGCTTCCCAAATATACACATACATACCCAATTCCCACCTATGTTTTACGCATCCTTCAGATCTCAACCTAAATGTCACTTTCTTATGGAGTAATTTCTTATGGAGTTCTTTCCTTACCAGTTCCAAGTCAAATTTATACCCTCGCAAGGTATCCTGTGCTTTTCTTTTCTATCGTAAATGCAGTTATGGGGTGTGTGTGTGTGTGTGTGTATTTGTTTAATGTCTGTCTCCCCACCAGGTGGTAAGTTCTAGAATGTCAGAGACTGGGCCTATTTTTTTTACCATTATGTCGTAGAGTCCAGTGGATTGCTTGGCATGTTGACACTCATATATGTTGCATGAATGAATGAATGATTATGTGCTAGGCCAGACTGGGGAAGAGGACTGTGTCCCTCAACTATAAGAAGAGCAGAGACTTTCATGTATCAGTCTTTTTATATACAATGGAGCACATGGTAGGCAATCACTAAGTGTTTGAAGAACTAAAAGAAGGGGAAAAGGAATGGAAAGAAAGAGAAAGGAGAAAGAAAATGAGAAATGGGAAAGGAGAGGAAAGGAAATTGGAAAGGAGACAGGAAAGGTAAACCTAAATCTAGGATTATAGTATCAGTCTCCCTAGCCCTCACTTAAAAAAACAAAAACTTGGGCAAGGGCTATGAAATGTTATCATGCAGTAAATATGAAACCTCTTACTGTGATAGTTTTTTGATGATCTTGTTGTCATTTATTTATTTGAGAGAATGAGAAATACCAGATAGGATTATGATCAGCCATGCTCCCTTGAACATGCACTTTTTAATCAAAACCCAACTTTTTCAGTCTTCTAAAGTGAAAGTACATTTTTATGTTTTCTTAAATTTATGGATAACTACTTTGTATCCCCTCCCAAAAAAAGATTTGCCTTTGCATACCATTAAATGGAATAGGTGTAAAAGTATTTTATGAACTATAAATGTACGCACATACTTGGGGGCCAGCCCAGTGGCATAGTGGTTAAGTTCACGCACTCCACTTCGGCGGCCCAGGGTTTGCAGGTTTGAATCCTGGGCACGGACGAATGTACTGCTCATCAAGCCATGCTGTGGTGGCATCCCACATACAAAATAGAGGAAGATGGGCACAGGTGTTAGCTCAGAGCCAGTCTTCCTCAGCAAAAACAGGATGATTGGCAACAGATATTAGCTCCAGGGCCAATCTTCCTCACCAAAAAAATGTATGCACATACTTAATTATTATTGATTAGGTATAATCATTGCCTATTTATCTCCAAAATTATAGAAAAATATGTCGTAACTGCAAGTGCGGCCAAGAAGAACATGATGTCCTATTGAGCAATGAAGAAGATCGAAAAGTGGGGAAACTTTTTGAAGACACCAAGTATACTACCCTGATCGCAAAGCTAAAATCAGATGGAATTCCCATGTATAAACGCAATGTTATGATACTGACCAATCCAGTTGCTGCCAAGAAGAATATCTCCATCAATACAGTTACCTATGAATGGGCGCCTCCTGTCCAGAATCAGGCATTGGTAAGGGAGAGGGGAACCCCTTTGTTAAAAATGAGTCTGTACTACTTATTTAGGGCAATTCCTTTAGTAACCTAATCAACCTCAGGTCTGTTATTTTTCTGGGGTTCCCATTACTTTGATTTTCAACTTCTATTGTCGTCTTTCGAAAGGAAGGTTAGATACCTCATAGAATTTTTCTGACTACCTAGATATGATACCTTTTTGAGGGAATGGTCTGAAATTCTTAATAATTAGGTGAAAAACAGATATTTTGTACAAATCTAGTAACTCTTCTAGCTTACTCTAGAGAAGATTTCTCTTACGATGGTAAAGATTAGCTAAAGAATAGAATTTCTGTTGTTTAGAACTCAAAAAAATGTTCAACATTATATTTCTTTTACTATGTAAGGCAAAAACAAAAACAATTTTGTGTCAAGCTCCTTGTATTATAACAACTAGATGAGGTGAGACATTTGGAAGTCTTTGAAGAAGGTTAGTTAAATCATTAAAGTTAATCTTGTGATGATATTTTTTTATAATGTGAAAATTTTGCCGATCCATAGGCCATTCTAAACATACTGCCTGAAAATTCGTGTTCCCTTATGATCGTACATTTGTGTATTTAGCACAAGTAAACATTAGTAACCAAAATCCTTTTACAAATCATGGAAAAAATGTATTCATTTTTACTGAACTCAATCTATTTAGTGGACCATTTTTGAATATGTTACTGAACTCAGTCTATTTAGTGTACCATTTTGAATATGTTAACATCTCAAGATATTTATATTATGAAGATTAATTTTTACTAATAGATAAAACCGACTTCTTTCTTGAGTAACTTGCTTCTGATGCGTGTTATAAAATATTGCCTGTCTGGTGGCCAAGGCATCTCCCAGATGACGCTGGTCTCCCTGTGGTTCAGGCCAGGCAGTACATGCAGATGCTGCCCAAGGAGAAGCAGCCAGTGGCCGGCTCCGAGGGGGCGCAGTACCGGAAGAAGCAGCTGGCAAAGCAGCTGCCTGCACACGACCAGGACCCTTCCAAGTGCCACGAGCTGTCTCCCAAAGAGGTGAAGGAGATGGAGCAGTTTGTGAAGAAATATAAGAACGAGGCTCTGGGAGTAGGAGATGTCAAACTTCCCCGGGAAATGGACGCTCAAGGCCCCAACAAAATGTACATCCCTGGCGGGGACAGAAGCACCACGGCAGCCGTGGGGGCCATGGACGACAAAGTGGCCGAACACAAAAGAACTCAATATGTAAGTAGAGTGGTCCCACTGTTGGCCCGATCTGTGTATTTTACAGTTCTTTCCCTTTCTTGGAACCTTTTTTGGGCCATTCCTCTGTTTCCAAAAGGGAGTAGATGAGGGAAATAAATTGAACTAAAATTCAGTTTTTGCTTATTTTAGAGAATCATCATGTTTGAAACCACTGTCTAAAGCCAGGTTTTCTGATTATCTGTTGCCAAGGATAATCGTGAGTTTTATGTATACATAGTAGTTAGCATTGGTGTCATGCTGGAATACAACATACTAATTAGAATCTGTTTCTAAACGTAATTATGGTGCTAATTGTTTATCTCTTCCCATAAATAAGAATAACGTATGCTTAGATTAATTTAGTTTTACTTGTGAGAAAGTGCCTAAAATTCAAACTTAAATTTATGTGGATATATTTTCAATCATATTTTTTTAATCTCTCCTAGAGAAGGAAATTGAAGTCTTTTTTTATGCCTTGAAGAAAATTGACACAGATGAACAAAAAATAAGAACTATACTTACTGTAACATATTCCTTATAGATCTGATTAGCACATCAACTAATGAGGCTTAGTCTTGTAAAAAAAAAATAATTTTTTTTAAAGTACTAATAAGCTCTAAGGTAATCATTTTTTTAGAGAAGCACTTAAAATTGAGGTGAAAATTACTATTAGCGTTTTTCCATAAGGAACTTTAATTTGGGAAACAATACTCTGTTGCACATAAGGTGCAAGAATTAGGTTTGAATAGCCTGCGGAAAGGCAAGAGATTCTATTTCACAGAAGTACTAACACCTTATTGTCTACATGGACAAATTACTAATTTCAGTAGAAATTATTTCTCTTGAAAGTTGTTTCTTTGAATTTCTACTAAAACTGGTGATGAAAAATGCCGGTCTTATGATGACTAGATTGTTTTGGATGGTTTCCCTTTCAGTCCTGCTACTGCTGCAACCTGAGTATGAAAGAAGGTGACCCGGCCATCTATGCTGAACGGGCCGGCTACGATAAACTGTGGCACCCAGCTTGTTTTGTCTGCAGTACCTGCCATGAACTCCTGGTTGACATGATTTATTTTTGGAAGAATGGGAAGCTATACTGTGGCAGACATTACTGTGATAGTGAGAAACCCCGATGTGCTGGCTGTGATGAGGTGTGTTCCCTGGGGCCACTGCATGCAGGCTCCTTTTTGTACCCCCATATGGTCCTCTTACCATCCTAACCAGGCCACCCTTAGCGAGGAGGCAATATGAATTAACCAAGCGTCAGTTCCTTTGTTTACATCCAAAGAAGATGAATGAAAAATCTTTTAATTTCAGTTATTCTGAGTGTCCCTGTTAATTGTGTTGACTAATGAAAAACCGTCCAGAAACATAAAGGATTGATTTGGACTAAACTAAATAATAACCTAAGTTCAAGCTTTATCTTATTTCAAACTTCAATCCAAGAAAGTAGGTCAATATACTTATGGATCTAAATCCCTTATTGTCTAAAGAACCTAGCTTTGTTATTTGTGACAAAAAAGGAAAATACGTGATTCATCTTATTTTTATCCTGTTCCCAGCTGATATTCAGCAATGAGTATACCCAGGCAGAAAACCAAAATTGGCATCTAAAGCACTTCTGCTGCTTTGACTGTGACAACATCCTGGCTGGGGAAATATACGTGATGGTCAATGACAAGCCCGTGTGCAAGCCCTGCTATGTGAAGAATCATGCTGTGGTAAGAAGCATTCTAGGGACACGGTGGCCTCAACCTGCTTTATAGCTTGACTTTATGCCTTTATTTAATTAAGCCTCTTACAAAGGAGAAACAGAAAGTACTACTCATAAGTAGGAAACATTTGATTCCTACCATAGAGTGTTAAAACCCAGATAATTCAAAAGCAATACATGCATTGACTATGAGCCATGTCCAGATTTCTACCGTGCAGTTTACACTATAGATTATAAATGCTACTTGATAATCAAATGCCCACAGAAAAATTCCTTAACATGAATGAGATTAACTGATTGATTCTCATCATACAGATCAGATTCTATTTAAGTTAGGGTTTCTAGAGGCTGTTCATATTCTTTAGCTCTATTTCAGTGTTTATGGTTTCTGTTCATGTTGCTAGACCACGCACTAGGACTTCATTTTTGCTATCTGGAGATTGGACAGTACCTATTTTTCAAACCCTCATTGAATTGATTCGGGTCAAACAAAATTTGACCTGCAAATTTTGGGTTGGATTTAGTAAGACTAAATGATTTACCATTTACCATTGAGTTGGATTAAATAAATTTAAATGATTTATTTGTGTGGGCCAAACATGCAAGTATTTAATGTGAGAGTATATTTTTTTTCTTGGATCTGCCCTGTTTACACAGATTGTGTGATGGCCAAGAGGTAGATAATTTAGATAAAGGGGAGATTAAAAAGTTGACCATATATGGTAAAGCTTTGTAAGCCAGGGGGTATTAAAAGGATAGACATTTACTTCTTTATATGTAGGAAAATATGTACTAGTTAAAGATCCCCCTGAGCTATCAAGTAGAGGAGACTCCTGGCTAAGGAATAAAATGACATATTTATATAATTCTAGGAGTATGTTACGACAAAAATGAGGTAACAAGTTTTAATGTCAATGCCAGTTTTCAGCCTTTACACATTGTCCCCAGATGTAATCAGTCATTTTCCATCATCTCTGCCTCATCAATATATCTCAGATCCTCACAGTTATGACTACTCTACTTCAGACCTTTATTTTTTTTCATTTGGATTATTGCAGTGGCCTCAAATTTGGTCTCCCTGCTTCCAATTTTCATCTTGTTCAAAGCCACCTCCCATAATGATGGAAGATTATCTTTCTAAAGTGCAAATCTGATCTTAACCTTTTGCTTAATAGATCCGGCCCATTCTTACCTGTCCAGCTGCTTCTACTAGTAATCCAACTCAAATCATACATTTCCACAAGTTACCTGTATTTTCTAGTTTATGCACTGTTCTTTGTCTTCTGACACACTAATTCCTTTGTCTGAAATGCCCTCCTATTCCTATTTTACCTGACTATGCCTACACATTTCTCTAGACTCAGTTTAGGCTTAACTTTTTCAGAACAGCTTTCCTGACTCCCTACCCCTTTCTCTCTGGCTAGGCTGGATGCCGCTCTGTGTTCCCCTGGGGCCGTGTGTGTGTGTGCTTGCCCATGTGTGTGTAATTCATGTACTCATCTGTTCCCTCCAGTAGACTATATAGCAGCTGGAGGGTAGAGCTTGCCGTTTTGTTTCCAAATCCTCAATGTCTGCACTTGGGAAATGTTTGAGTGACTGACTTGTGTTCTTTCTCATTTGCTTTGGAGTCAGCGTGGACCCTCCTCTACCTGGGGAAAAGATATTGAATCACCATGTGGCCTGATACAGAATTTAGCTAAAAACTGCTTCTCTGAATATTGTTGCAACAGTTTCTCTGCAAAAGAGGGTTATCATAATGTGTATTTTATTGTAGGATATGTGACCATCTCAATGACTAGAATTTAAACTCATTAAGGGGAGGGATTTTTGTCTGCTTTGTTTTCTATTTCCAATACTAGGACAATACAGTAGATACTCAATATTTATTGGATAAAGTTTTAAATAGATGAAACAGCTTTATTTAACTGTTACAAGTTTCTCTCCATTACATTGTGTCTAATCAATGGAGAGGATTATAATCACAGATATGATTTTTTAAAAAAGAAAATGTCTAAATTATTCAGCTTTGTAATATGGCATGATTTCTTGTAGGTTTACTTTCTTGGTAAGATATACTGTTGCCCTTTGCCTAATATTAAAGTGAACATATCTATCTCCTAAACAACTCTAGCTGATAGCAAAGAGAGCTACTCATGCAACATGCTAAAGGATGTAAAATTTTGAAGAAGATTATCTAGTTTAAGGCATTGATCTGCTTAGATCTTTAAAAAAAAATTTTTTTAAAAAGCAGAGAGAGAATACAAACTATTTTTAGACCTAAAGCCAAGAACTCAGCTCAAAACAGGACATTTCTGAGGAAAAATTTAACCTGGAAGGAAGATAATGGGAAATGCACTTAGTTTGTCTCTGCGCTGGTCTCTGGAATTCCAGTCTCGAACAGCCACCCACAGAATTCACATCTACGAGATTTCACAGGACCTTCCTGCCAGAGAGCTCATGACAACAAGTGTCATTAGCTATTTCACATTGTGTATACAAATAAAAAAAAGTAGGAGGGATTGAAGGAAATAAGACCTCATTGAAATATTAGAAATTTAAGAACACAGGAAGCACAATCATCTCCCTGAAGGGTTCTGTAGTCCCCAGACCCTCGGGGAGGTCTGGGCAGCTTTCAGATTTATGAAGAATTAGGGATCAGTAGATTTTACCTGGGATTATATGTCAGACTTTGGGATGAGTGGCAATCAAATTATTAAAGCTAAGTTTTATGAAACTACAAACCCTAAATTCCTATACAATTTAGTGTGTTCATTAGTTATTTTTTTACCTCAACAAGTTCCTTAATTTTACACATAATTGAACAGTAGTTATCTCTTTTTTTAAATCGCAAAAGAAAGTCTGTGTTTTAAAAGATTATAAAAAGATCCACAAATATTATTACAGGGCTGAGATAAAGGTAGATCATGGTCTAAAGATGAATAAAAAATTGAGTGTGAAATCCTTTTATTTTACACAAGCGAGTTTAAAAATATTGAAAAATTAATATGAAATACAGAAAAATACAAAGGACAGCATTCTAAATGAATTATAAAGCTATAAAAAATGAACATACACATCTCCCTTGCTTCTCAAGGAAGACTAGGTTGACATAACATGTGAATTAAGCAGCTATAATCTGTAATTAGAAGCCATGTAGCTCTAAAAAATATGGAAAGTATATTGCAGGTCTGAAATGGATATTTGTAATAATGCCTCACTTCACACCCTAAACCAGTTTACCCGCTGAGTAGCAGCCGCATTTTGAGGTCTTTTCGAGTAAGGAGGCTCAAGCTAAAAGACCCTCCTCAACTGACCCACTCACCCCTCATCTCTCAGTAATTCCTGACAATCATATTAAGAGACCAAGAATACTGAAGGTTTGTCACTTTCACATAATACTGGACAATCTTGCCTCACTTGTTATAAAATATTTAAAACAAAACTTTAGATAGTCACGTTCATTCGGAACACGTGTAAACAAGAAGGCGTATGAACTATCTAGTGTTTTGGAGGTCTCAACTGGGTAGTTTTGTTTTCTGCTATAATGAGGGTTATTCATTTATTATTTTCATATACACATGCAGCTAAAGAAGAAAATTATGTGTGCGGGTGTGGATATGTGTATGTCATATATATATTTGTATATAACATACATATACACTGAATGGTATAGGGGATACAAGTATTAATATTCTACAATATTAGATTATACCTAAGTGATGACTTAGAACAGAAGCCAATTAACTACAAGTTATATTTTTAGTGCAAATTAATTATTCTTAATTAATTAATTAATTAATTAAATATCTTAATTAAATATTCTTAATTCTTAATTCAGTATTTTTAATTTTCTTAATTACTTTGAACATGATTTTCATTTTCTACTGTCTAGAAATTAGTGGTGTTAATGATCTCATGTGTCATAGGTAGGACTGGTAAAATTACCAGTTCAAAGCTTTAATGAGTGAGGAGAAGTCTTTTTAAGACTATTTTTTTTAGAGCAGCTTTAGGTTTACAACAAAATTGAGAGGAAGATACAGAGATTTCCCATATACTCCCTACACCCACACGTGTAAAGCCTCACTCATGATCAACATCACTCGCCAGAAGGGTACGTTTTTTACCAAGGGTGAATCTACATTGAGACTTCATAATCACCCAAAGTCCATAATTTGCCTTAGGGTTCACTCTTCATGTTGTACATTCTCTGGGTTTGGACAAATGTATAGAATGGACAAATGAAATATATCCATCATTATATATACAGAATATTTTACCTGCCCTAAAAGTCCTCTGTGCTCTGCCGATTCATCTCTCCCACCTCCTTGCCCACCCCCCCAGCAACCATTGATCTTTTTACTGTCTCCATAGCTCTACCTTTTCCAGAATGTCATATAGTTGGAATAATACAGTTTGTAGCCTTTTCAGATTGACTTCTTTCACTTAGTAATATGCATTTAAATTTCCTTATGTCTTTTCATGGCTTGATAGCTCATTTCTTTTTAGCACTGAATAATATTCCATTGTCTAGATGTACCCCAGTCTGTCCATTCACCTTCTGAAGGGCATCTTGGTTGCTTCCAAGTTTTGGCAATCGTGAATAAAGCTGCTATAAACATCCGTATGCAGGTTTTTGAGTGGACTTAAGTTTTCAGCTCCTTTGGGTAAATACCAAGGAGCACAATTGTTGGATTGTATGATAAGAGTATATAGTTTTGTAAGAAACTGCCAAACTGTCTTCCAAAGTGGCTGTACCATTTTGCATTCCCACCACCAACCAGAGAGTTCCTGTTGTTCCACATCCTCACCAGGATTTGGTGTCGTAGGAAAAAACCATTAACTTTTTTATAATTACTACTGTGCAGTCTAATGGAATATGCTGTAACCAAATGTACTGCTTTGGAACTCACTGTCAAGACTTTCTGCCTTGAATACCATGGGGATATCTTACAAACATCAAATCACCTCTTTGGCCTTCGCCTGTTATTTCTCACAGTGCTCACCCTATAGACTCCCATTAACAGTTGTTCGCTAACAGGGTTAACTAGAAGGTCACTTTCAGTTGTATATTTTTGAGATTGTCACTCTCAGTTTAATTTATCACCTGAAGAAAGGTGTGTTGAGTTTGTTCTGACATGAAAATGTTACCATCTCAGTTTGATCTCTCATCTCTTATTTGTACAATTGACTTAACAGGTGTGTCAAGGATGCCACAATGCCATTGATCCCGAAGTGCAGCGGGTGAGCTATAACAACTTCAGCTGGCACGCGTCCACAGAGTGCTTCCTGTGCTCCTGCTGCAGCAAGTGTCTCATTGGGCAGAAGTTCATGCCAGTAGAAGGGATGGTTTTCTGTTCAGTGGAGTGTAAGAAGATGATGTCTTAAGAGGAGAGCACCAAGTGATATTGAGCCATAGCTATCCAAAGTGGTCTGCATTTCTACTGTAAAACGCAATTTAGAAAAATAAACGGAAAAAAGAGGAACTGTAAAGGAAACCAGGAGATTTTGTTCAGTATCTTTCTTTGCTGTTTTTCCATATCAGTTTTTTTCATGTCAACTTTTAGAACCTGCTTTAAGCATTTGATTTTAAAAACAGTAAAGAATTTTATCTTTCCTTAGCTTTCCAGGCATAAAATCTTTGAGTTGGAAGCTTGGGTTTAATTAATCTTCATATCCCTGTCTCCTTTGTACCAAACAGTATATATGAAACACTTAAAAGTTAGTGGGCTGAAGGGAAGGATGAACATTTCTAGTTCTATATTCTTTTTTCCCTCTTGTGTAAAATGAAAAGGAAATTAAACTTGCCCTAATGCCAAGGCTCTACATTTATTGCCTCATCTTATTCACTGAACTCTGTAGTGATACACAGTGAATTCTTTTGACAGAGAGAATAGAAGTGCAGCATGGTATGGAGAGCTATCATTTTAATGCCTATGCATTTGCTATTTCCTAATTTAGGCAGAGGTGGCTTTATTGCATTTCTCTATTTTTTTTTTTTTTTATTTGCCTTACCTCTCAGTGTTCTCTTTGTAAGCTGGTGACCTCCATCTGTGGCCTTGAATATTTTATTGTCACATGTGGCATCTACACTTTTTACTTCTATAGATGACTCTCGGCTTGGACATAAAAGCCTGGCCACTCATTTATATTATGTTTTCAATCCAAAGAATGCGTATACTTTTTGTACCCAAGAAACTATAACTTGTACTGATTGCACTTGCCTGCCGTGGTTTGGATAGATTTTTTTGCATGGTTTTTATTCTTTTCTAATAGATGCTGTCCTGTTCTAAGCCTGTTCATTGGTATATCGAATGTCTTCTTCCCCTGTATACTTCCATCATTAGGTATTTCTGATGTTTATTTTTCCCTGTATATTTCTATATACTATGCACTATGAAATTCAATGGAATGAATGATATGTATATTATTATTCAAAATAAAGTTTCTTTCACTTTAATAATTGTACCTTTCTTCTTAATATCCTTTTCATTCAAGAGCAAAAAATCCTTCCGCAATTAAGCATTTGTTACAGCAGGGGGCGCTGTCTCCAAGGATAAAAACTACCCAAACAAAAAGGCTGCTTCTGACAAGACAGAACAGAAGCTAGGCTTTTCATTCCGGTGAAGGGACAAGTTTTATGAAACTTGAAGATAAATCAAGACATTTAAGTTGTTAGTTTTCAAGTCATGTAGGAATTTTTTCTTTCAGGAAAGGGAAAGGTGTCATTTTAATTGAAGTTTGGGAAAACTTAATATCAACAAGCATTACTCTTATACTTGAATTGCAACCCTATTTGGTTTTCTAAGAATTTTTTCATGGCAACCTATTGTGAAAAAGGAAGCAAATGTGGAATAGTAGTAGATTCATTCTTCTAATATTATCAAATCATGAGGTTTCTTTTTTTTCCTCAGTCTGAAGTATTTCTGTCAAAGTGGGAGTAGCAGTTTTCTCTGACATATATCCAGAATAATTTGATTTTGATTTTTTTTCAGCTCATGTTTGTTTGGCTGATAGTGCTTCTCCTAAATTCCATCCCCCCACCCCCCACACACATACTCACAACATACATTTATTCATATTTATTCCCTCTGCACTACACCTTCCCCAGGCATATGAAAAGTGTCTTTTGGAACTTGAATACATGCCACCTTATCTAAAGAAATAATCTAATCCTGCATACAATTTTAAATGCTAAAATCACAAATATTCATCATTGTCTATAAATATCATTTTATGCTTGCTCATCTTTTTACCTTTCTCTCAAATGGCAACATATATTTTCCATAGAATCTTTTTTTTGTGTGTGAGGAAGATCAGCCCTGAGCTAACATCTGCCAATCCTCCCCTTTTAGCTGAGGAAGACTGGCCCTGGGCTAACATCCATGCCCATCTTCCTCCACTTTATATGGGACGCCACCACAGCATGGCCTGACAAGTGCTGCGTCGGTGCACGTCCGGGATCTGAACCGGTGAACCCCAGGCCACTGTAGCGGAGTGCGCGCACTTAATTGCTTGCACCGGGCCGGCCCTTCCATAGCATTTTTCCCACAAAGTTGAACAATTTACCTTTCCCAGACATGGCTAAGTGGGAATAAATTGAAACAGAATTCCACTGCATGTTAACATGGCCACTCTTCACGTCTCCCTGCCTAGCCTCCACTCTTCTGGGGCTGAGGTAGAATCAGACTGGTTTAGGGATGTAGAGGCCCAAGAAATTTGACCAAATTCATCATTCAGTACCCAAGATGCTGATTGCATGTATATTAGGCATTTCCCAGAAGAATGAACTACTTTGCCTGGGAGATACAGAACCACTAGTTTTGACTCTATCCTAACTTGTTTTTAGTTTGGCCTTGTATATATGAGCGGTCTCAAGATCTCCTGCAATTTTTAATTGTTAATCAGGTGGAAAAAAAAAAAAACCCATTCAAATATTTTGTCCTATAAACACTTAAGAGAATAAAATGGCTACTAGATTGTATAAGATTTACTTTTGCTCTAGCATTTAGGACATGCACACCCCCACCCCCACTCTCCACCATCATTCTGTATTCTGCATTGTCCTCAATTCTAAATAATGGTTTACTTGGAACAGAGGCCAAAGTTAAATCCTTCCCTTGCATTGGGGAAAAGATAGGGAAGTAATAAATGTTTTTATCTGGATTCATGCAATTTTTTTCTTCAAAAGTAAATAATGAAGAATAATCTTTTGTTCTACTTATTTCCTATTGGTCAGTAAATGGAAATCTCTATATCATCCAAATCCCATTTAAGTTTTATTTTTCAGAGATAGAGCTTATCCTTTTTTGTACTCAATGTAGCAGGCATTTAACAACCACATCTATGCAGTTAGAAATAGAGAGCCCCTCGCCCTGGAAGGGACTGGATTGGAAGGGAGAGAATACCAGAATGTGAACCACAATAAAGGCACCACAGAGCGTAAGAAAAGAGATGTCTTTTTCCATTCTGCAAAAGCCACCAATTTGGACATTGGAAGGTATAATGATACCCCTGATTCTTTTATCCCCTAGTCGGTGCTCGAGAACAGAGGGGTTGGATGAGGAAAGAGAGGGGAGATATTTCTTTACTGAGACCCAGGAAGTTCAAAAGAAGATTTTGACACATCATCAATTGCTGAAGTATATTGAGGTAATACATTTAATATCCTTACTGGAACAATCAGACCATATTAGATTGATTAATCATGAACTCATTCACAGAATCGGCACATATCCTATTCATTTCTAAGCAGAAGAATTTTGCTTGTAACCCTTGGATACAGTCATAATTTTGAAAAATCTGGATTTTGGTTATCCAATCCTGTTAAGAAATACCAGTTGCTCAAGAGACTCACTGGTCTTCGTATTTCTTCTATGTTTTATTTTTATTTTGATTTTTTTGGAAATGAGGGGTTGTTTTTACTTTAATCCATTCTGGCTGAAACTTAAATGACTCTGAAGTATTCAAGCATAGATTTCCAAATCTGACTTTGAAGTATTTCAGTCCAGTTTCACCAAAGGCAAAAGATTCATTATTGACTCATTCTTAAGGAATTTCCAACACGCCATGTTTAACCTCATCCAACTTCACCATGGTTACCAAAGAGACACTACCACCCAAGATGAGTATTAAGCCTTTGTCTCAAGATGTCCTGGCATATCTGAACTTGTCTTATGGGTATTCACTTAATTCCTTGAAAAACTTATGACTCCACCAGTGTCTCCATAAAATAGCATTTTACCACAAATTCTTTCTAGATATACTCTGCCTCTTCCTGACCTCTGCTGTTTTAAGTGCTCAGAGACAACTTGGATGATTATACCGAAGACTCATACATAAAAAGGACGCACTGTGTTGGGGTACAAGGGTGTGTTTTGAGCACACGACCTGAAACACATTCCTGCTTGATTAATAGAATCTTTTTTCATATATTTCCTAGATGCTTAAATAGCTTTAGCTAATTATTTTGTCTTTTCATGGAGAACAACATGTCATTGCAGCTTCTATTTGATTTGATAATGTATTTTGAAACACTCAAAACAAGATATCATTAACCTTTTATACTTGTTTTGAATGGCATTTTATGCTGACATTTATGAAGGCTGCTATTGATTTTTCTTCAATGATACTTCTCCCCAGGATATCTTGACCTTTAAACAATAGCAAAAACAACTTGCACCCAGGTATCTTTACTAAAGTCAGCCATTATCGAATGCAGAGACATTAGAGTGATGTTTCCAGAAATACTGACTGACTGTGAAAGCATCATGGTATAGATCCAAGGAGGGCTGGGTTTAGGAATCTAGAGACCTCCTGGCCAAGTCCCACTGAGTCTCCCTCTCCTCCTGACAGTTACAGATGAGTAGGATGGGGGACAGGATTGCTGGATTTGAGGAGTTTAGGAAATAGGCCCAAATGTGGGATGGACATCTATGAATATGTGGAAGTCACCAAAAATAACAACAGGAAAAAATGGTGGAGAGAAAAGTGAGCCAGAGGCTAATGGTTATCAAAAAACATGGAGGAGTGTCCTGGAATTTGATAGAAGATGGCAACTAAGCATAGAAATGGGTAGTAAAGTCTCAGGCCATGTACTATACTTCAAAGAGCTGTGATTGTTAGGAAACAAAAAGGAATTAGTGGACATAACAGTGGAGAATGAGGAGGATGACTACCCCACAGGCACTGGAATGCCCATGTGGGAGAAAAAATAACCAGCCTCAGCTTGAGAGTACCAAAGAAGAAACAGAGACCTTGAGGGATGACCAGTTATCAGTTGGAGCGAGGAGATGAAGAGGCTGAGAGGACGAGGGAGTTTGCAGTTCACAGAAGTTGGATTTCAGAGGCCACAGAGGTAAAGTTAGGGAGTGTAGGAAGGGATAGGACCAGATTAGGGGACTTACAAAACAGAATGGATATTGAGTTTCCAAATGAGGCTGAAAAATCTGGATGCCTGGGGTAAACAGAGCTGAGAGGCATACCGAGGTTAGTCCTGGTAGTTTGCTAGAGAAAGATGAGTAATCAATTAGGAATGCTTTTGGCTATAAGTAACTAAAAACACAGTTAAGAGTGGCTTAAAGATAAGACAGGCTGGCCCAAAGTCGGCTCAGAAAAAGCTCTTTTTCCTCTCTCTGCTCTGCCACTCTCTCTGTGCTGCCTTCCATTCTCATGTTTGTCCTTTCATTCAAGCAGCACTCTCTCACATAGTAGCATCCAAAGTATAAGGCAGAGCTGGGCCAAAATGGTATTTCACTCTCCTAAAAAGGAGAAAACTGTTTCCCAGGAGCCCCCAGCAGACTTACCTACCCTTCCATTTCATTAGCTAGAACTATGTCACATGCTCCTCCTCATCAAGGGAAAAAGGAAACAGTAGCTATCATTGACCTATCCAATAATATTTCATACCCTGAGGGCTGGGTACATGATCACCCAGATCAAAATCAATTTTCTGATATAGGAAGAGGTGAAATGGCTGTTGCAATGGCAAATGACGGGGACAACTATGGTGAGTAATTGTTTAGAGTTCAGTTTTTAGCTGGAAGGGATGGGATTGCGGGCAGCTGTTTAGTTGTGAAACTTGGGGTTTCTGTTGGCTTATAAGATATGACAGAGGCATCATTTGGGGACATCTTTCTTAGGCAGGATGCCACTTATATGGCCAGAGATGATGTAGAGTGAGAGCAAGAGACACTTTGAAGTCCTTGGGCTGACTGATTACTGGTTTTGCTTGGCTTGCCC